AAATATGTCGTTTTATACTTTGTAACCCTCAAACAATAATGTAGCTCCTTTCATCTCAAATTTCTGAATAAAAGCATTTTTGCTGTTTTAATTCTCCGATTTGTTTTATTAACAGCTAAACAGAAGCTTTTTTAGATCAATTTTTTTTTTACTTTTTTACATACATTCGGTAAATAGGACTTGATGAAAATGTTCACTTTATTTAACGTATAATATATGTTTTAATATTGTAGTGAACTTACCTAATATTAATGAACTGATATTTGGAGTGGTTATTATAGATGAATATACAGTATTTCACGGGTAGGCATCACGGTAGAATGACGATTACCTAGTGATATCTCGAAATTCCCCATATCGGCACAGGACACATCATTCTGACGGATCCGTCAACGTCAGGTAGACAGAGCCGTATTTTGATTTTTTTTTTGTACGCCACAGATTCATTTTGTACTTGTTAAAGCTCCTTTATTTAAAAAAGTTCATTTGCATACAAAAAACAAAACGCCACAAACAAGCTTCACTAGAACTATACCCGATTCATTGTTGCCAACGTTGCAGACTAACATAATCATGTCACTTGCTGATCAGCTGTTCATCACGTCAAAACGTGATGGAAAGCCGTGAAATAGTGTATAGTTTTACATTATAGTTGACTAAACTTAACCATCAGACATGTCCAGACGAATGTAATGAACCCCAATTCGATGGGTAAGCGTTGATTTATTATATAGTCCCTCTAGCTCGATCATCGGATCAGCTCCATGTCAATAATATTACATTGAGCCGTATTCATATGCATATGCATATCCTCGGAAGCATAAGGTAAAAGTATAAGGTCTTGCTTCGGAGAAAAAGGTAGAAGCATAAGCATATCCTTGTTTTCATATTCATAATGATTACCTTATACTCGCAAGGATATCCACCAAGAAGAAGTAAAAGGTTGACTGGTATTTTAGCGACATGTCCTGACTTGTTCCAGCTTGTAGTTGAGGTGGGAGTTCGTTCACTCTGCATCACTGAGAGTAGTACTCCAGAGCTTACACAGACCGTTCCGTATTTTTACTGGATACAGTTTTTTATCAAATTAATAAGCATGTCATCCTCAAGCGACGAGGAAACTAAATAAAATAATGGCAACGACCTGCAGTTCATCGCAGATGAAATTGTCATTGCTCCCATTATTTTGCAAAAGTCACAAGTTCCTAAAATAAAAATGGGAAAGAACGATGCCTTGAAGAACATGTTGAAAAAATACGAATCAACATTCGGTAAACTATTAGACACTTAAGGCTTATTAAAAAAATCAACAACATGGAGTCAAGATTGAAGAAAAAAAAGATCTAAAAAAACTGGTAATAAGGCAATTAAATTGTTAGATTGGGAAAGAAAGTTGCTGAAAGCTAAGTAAGGTGACTGTAATCCTACAATTGGGAAAATTAGAGGTGCCATTCAGGATGGTAGTGTTCAAGAAGAAGGAAGTGAACTATATACCGAGCGCAGTGAGCAAACAGTTAGTATTACAGCGCTAGCAATTCAGAAGACATTGCCACCAAAAAGAAAATTAGCAACAGAGAAATACGAGACTGAGGAAACCAAAGGGTTAACTACAAAAGAACTGCAACGTCTAGTGATATTACAGCAGTACCAAACAGGTATTTTACAACAAGAGTATTATAAAACGAAATTAAAAATGATGCTGCGTCAGAAGCCACCTGTAACTTATGATGTTCACGAAAATAAAACTTATTATAACTTATAAATACACTTTAATCAGTAAAACTATTATAATACTCAAGTTTCTTCTTATTTGTTGACCTCATTGGCGAAGAGGAAGTTTGTTATTCTCATGATTTCCTTCATCTTCATCTGGGTCTGGTTCAACTAACTTAAAGTACAATACAAGCAATAATTATTTTCGGCACATTTTCCAACTTTACGCGGCAAACATACTGTAGGATAGGAAACCGGCCGAAACAGCGTTCAAATATATCTCTTTCTTGTTTAAAAGCTTATTATAATTTATTTCTGCACCTGGAGTAGGATTTCTGAAGGGAGTCATAAGGCATGGCTCAATACCATAACCGTCATCGCCAAATAGTACAACATTTGCTTTATTTATTAGTTGTGATCTAGTCTGTGAATTTCTCCATATTCTGGAATCATGCACTGATCCAGGCCAGCTGACATTAACACTTATGAACATCTCTCTGGCATCACAAGTGGCTTGCACATTTAAAGTAGGTTTCCCTTTTCGGTTGATATACTCATTTCCATGGCGATTTGGTTTCAGGATTCCTATATGTGTACAATCAATTACACCAATTGCTGTCGGAAATTTATACATGCTTTGCCATATCCGCTGGGCCTCCACCAGTTCATGGTTGGTAGTTGGAAACTTGATCCATTCGTTCGACTGTGCAACTATGCTGTTCACAATTCTATCCACAGTCCGAGATACCGTTGCTTGACTAACACCAAGTTCCTGACCAATACCTTGTTGATATCCAAGGTCACCGAGATAGCGTAGACATACATATCTTCATTTTATGAATACATGAAAGTGCTCCTCCTCGAGTTTCCTCATTCTCAACTAAAAATCTGTCCGCAAGCCTTTCGGATTCTGCGCAGTAGAATCTCGTGACTGCAGAACCAATCCGCAATTGGTTACTGTCAAAATCAGAACTGTTCTAGAATAGTTCGACGTAGAACCCGAACAAAACGAACATCTCTTTCACTTTTATACCAATCGTGGTAGTTCGCTATTTACATGGACTTGGTAACTTTGTATCTCCTCTATGATATCGCATACCATTGTGTGAAATGTCAGAAGATACCATGAGAAGAACCAATGAGAGAAACGTATGAGTGGATTCTCATTCTGATATCGAGTGTTGCGTGTCTTCCCAGGAAAGAAGAAAAAACAATGCTCTTGTTGCGGTTGGTAGACACGAACCGAGTTTACAGAAGATTCTGCTGATGACTTGCCGTAGTCATTATAATATAATGGAAGCGGGTCGCGTGTAGGTTAGTTTTATATTCTTGTATTCTTCGCAGATGCTTGCTAATGGATTTAATTTGCAGAATGTGAAATGCATCACTTGTCTTTCACCTTTCGGATTGGGATCTTAAATCAGTAAACTCTAGCTTAACTATCAGTACGCTATTTGCCAGGAGCAAAGTGGATAGTGGGGGAACTAAATCGATCGCCGTGCACGCGGCGAACAAAAAGAGAATTAACGTCGGCGTGATACTGGATAATAGGCGTGGTCTCTGAAGTGAAATTTGTGTTTTGTGGAGACAACCGAGGCCTGACAGATCAAAAGGGAAGGCGAATGAAAACTCAAATTCTTCATAACCTCAAATCGAGCAAACGACTGATATTTTCATTTATATCCGTTTATTTAATGACACGTGTCAAATACAAATATTTTTGTTTGAAAGTTTGGCTCTATCCGTCTGGTAAAGCGACCCTTAGGACCTTTGCGTTTAGTTAAACCAATATGAGCACCTACTATGCAGTCTACATATCTATGTTCATATACATGCACTGACTAGATACAATCGTTATCAAATGGGTTAGAAGCATGGGATATACGGTTATAATTTATGATTGTTCAAAAACCGATTGTCATAATATTAGTCTGTATTGAAATCATCCGTTCAGTTTGTTAATCTGAAAGTGACAGCATGAATAGTATGATCTAATTTTTAAATTAGCTTTAAATTATTTTTAATTCAATTTGTGCTTCTATGAGTATAGAGAGTGGTACTTAATGATAGGCCGAAATTTCAAAGGCGCATCCCTGAATCAAATTTAAATAGAGTTCATATGAACATGTCCTAAAACGTTTGGTTTTCAGGATACTGATGTCAAAATTTCAAAAAAATGGAATTTTATTGATATTTCAAAGATCCTTGTGTCAAATTTGTTTTGGCACTATGTTCGATTGCAATAAGACGCCAAGTTAGCACTAACTTGAAGATAATTCTGAATTCTACTGGCGTATCGGGGGCGCAGTATCAGGATTGATATTGACAAAAATGCACATATTATTTATTTCGGGTTAATTAGCTCTGCAGCAGCATTTTATTCATTTTTGTTTTCGTGTTTTTGCCAATAGCTCTGCCGGCACTGGTTTGATATTCAAAAACTACAAAGCTTTTTCGTCGTTGCTATAGTATTAAATTTCTGTGAAAATTTTATCAAAATCCGAGCAGTATTTCCCAAGTTATAGGATTAGCTGACAAACTGACCGACGAAACGGAGAGACGAGGTTTTCGTGGTGCACGTGTCATATAACATCCAAAAAATTTTTCGAATTTGTTTGAGATTACGATACTTCCTCGCCAGTGGCGTAGCTAGTAAAAATGTATGTTTGGTATTCGACATTCAATCTTATTTTTGATGCTGCAGATATCACTAAAACGCTTAGATTGTGAGTTTATCTATGGTCCTAAAAAATCCTGGTTTTTCGATGTCTCGAATCTATTTCTTATTTGGGCGCAGCTTCAGAATTGGTATAAAAGAGCGTGTGAGTGATCTAGTTTTTTGCTGATGAATTTGTTGACGTGGTTTCCATCAAATCAACCATGCATTGTGATTTTGTCAATAACATTACTAAATAAAATACTACGACAAACGTATAGCAGACTTGATATCAGTTTCAGTGGAATTTTTATATCTCCTGTTCCGTAAGAATCAAAAATTAACATATTTATCAGCTGTATGACAATGTGTAGATTTTTTTAATGGAATTAATACCAAAAGACAATAAAATCATTATACTTGATTGTTTTTCAAAATATCCTGTACGAGCGAAAATAAAAGATTTATTCCACCAAATCATTTTTTCCTGTGGGTTATGTTGTATTCTGTGTTTTTGATCAACACTTTTGACATTGGTTCCAAAAATAGTCCTGTTATAAATATAATGTAGGATAGATAGTAGTCATTATACATATTGTGTTTGAGTCTCACGGTGTTCCTTTTTTTTCAGGATGAAACCAAAAGCTCTGAATCGAAATTAAACTGCAGTTACCCACAGGTAATCGATTAGTTCTTATGCTTTTGTTACCTGCTTTTTAACGAAGGCAACGAATCGTTAACTTCATTTATTTTTTATTGATAATTATCAATAATTATATTGATAATTATCAAAAATAATTACTGATTACTTGTAATCAGGAAGGTTATGTTAAAAATGTAGATGAACTAAGCTTAGTATTAGTTATCTGATATGTGACGACTTCTCACTAAAGATAAGTACTCGAAGCATTGCTTAAATTGGTCTTAATAATAGTACTATCATATCAAATAACAGATCTGTTTGTGTGATTATAGACAGAAAAATTAGATTGTACCTTCCTTTTTTAAACAGATGTTTCTCAAGTCATATCTCTCTAATTGTGCAAAATGGTCAAAAAAAAAAGAAGTCCCTATTACAAGTTAATGTGGTATATACCAACATTGCAGATTTTCATTGCTAAAAAACCATGGCTAAAAAAACCATGGTTTGATTATTTGAAGATTGATCATGGACGATTTTTGTTGTCTGTCTACGTCTACTTAATTTCGTTAATATGCCAAAGCTTTCAGTATGTTCAATATATTCTAGTACTGCTTTTTTATTAGTTCATACACATAATAACTATAGCAGTTGCTAGGAATTGAGAGATGCGTAATGTTGATGCTATATTAATTACAAGTGAAGGTCACCGCTTAATCTCCTCAACGTAAATGCCGTGTTGTATACAGGGTGTTTCAAGAAAGCCTATTAGAAGAGCTCTGTATTTAAAATTCGCACGAAAAGGCGGTGAGCCTATCTAGTATTGACAATAACTGGCTTGAACTAAATTTTTATATGTCTTACAAGAGATGATATACAGGGTGAGTTTTCAGTGTGGGCTTGTTCGGTAACTCCAAAATCAACTATTTCTCAAATTGTTCATATGGAACACTCTGTATATTTTCATATTGATTCTCGTTTTCTCTTCCCTTTTTTCTGATATATGCTTTATTATGGGTACTTATGGCTGGTTTTTGAATTACTACAAATACAGGTACACCATCCTGACTTTTCAACTTGTATTGCATGAGGTTGGGTAGATCTATTTTATAATGAAAATACACCAATCGACCTGCCGTTAGCAGCCAAATGTCACTTTACTTTTAAATTTAATTTAATATTTTTCATTTACCTTGATAGCTGATTTACAAAAAGGCTAGCTGTAACTACAAAACCAGTTGTACAAACTTCCAAAGATTGATATCACAAAAGCTTGTACATTTGAATTTTTTGAGAAATCGTTCAATCTACGTTCTTGACCATCCTGTATACACTACCAGAAAAACTGAGTAAGTAAGTAGATAGAGAGAAAATATGGGATCTTAAAATGTTTCTGCCGAACAATTTAGTGCTCTAGCAGTAATAGTTGACGAGGTGCGAGTTATCGAAGTTGAACGTTTTTTTTTCGATCAATTGTCAAACAACATTTTGAAAATAAAACTGTATAGTATGTTATATAAAATTGCTTCATTTGGAAAGGCCTATTCAAGTCTGCAATAAAATTTAGGTCTCTCTATTTAAAAACGTATGTTTTTCAACTAAGGGGACTGTTTGCTACAATTTTTTTGATACATTTTTTTGGATAACAAGCCCACAGTAAAAACTTACAATGTAGGTGAATTTACCAGTTTATAGCAATACAAATATTTTCATTGGTTTATAATAAACAAAATATGGATTTCTTTATAAGAGGATGCAATTTTGACAAATAATTTAATACAGTTTTTTGTTGGTTCACCAAGGGAAAAATGCTTCAGATATTTTTATGTATTTTAAACAATGATAAGGCCATTGACAAATTAATCAGGTAATCAATCATGGGCATAATATACATTGTATAGGAAGGTTTGCGATTGTTGTCACATCGCGTGTTGGAAACGGAGCTTTTTGATAGGTAAAAACCTACCTAAACCCTTTTGAACTTTGCCCTATGGCATAATATCACTCTCGGACATACTTCTGTCTAAACCACCTGGTTTGTCTAAATTATGTCAAATTATCGGAATGGAAATTTTTTTCTGAAACATGCTGAGGGTAGATGAAGACTGATACTTTGTAGAATAGTGATAGTATAGTATCTGTATTTTGTATTGTTATTAAGTAGCTGTTGTGGGTTAAAGCTTATGACGCCTATTTTATTCTTAATGGTATATTTTCTTTTAATAAAGCATGCTTTTATATTGATATGTTTTTTTTACTAACATCTTCTATTACTAATAGCCTTTTCTACTTCCTCTTGCATGCATATATTGTAGTTATACATAATTTGGTGGTTGGTATAGAATATGGGCTTTTACGTGTATTGGGTAGGCAGGCGATTGAAATATCGAATTGTTTTGAAAGCGGGTATATTTTTTAAGCTAATCTCGGTACGTATAATTTATAGAAATCACACCGCTCCTCAAGTTTTATCAAAATCGGTGCAATGCTTCCTGTGCCTACGTTTACAGTCGATCTACAGAAACAGGAAAGTGGCGGATATAACTGACGTTCGTAACGTCAGAGAACATAAAAAAAAACTTGGTTTCTGAAATTCTCAAATTTTCTGGATCACAATACATTTCTAGACTTTTAATCATATGCTCGGTAAATTCATTCGAAGTTCGAGTATTTGCAGTTGATACGTCATAAATCTATTCACAGGTGCGGTACAGATATAGATTTATTCATGTATGCTGAAATTGTAGAAACAGTTAGCTGTCCTTTGTCAATAATTACAAAATTTTCTACATCCTGCCTTTCTTCTTGACATTAATTGTCATAGTAATGGATGTTTACGGTTTACATTCGCAATTGTGCATGTTTTCAATATTCATATAATTCCATAACACAAGGAACTCGCAAAATTCTTTTCTGATATTAACGCCTCAGCAAGGACGCAAAGGCTATCTAGATATCCGACTGACTCAGAAGGAGGCTAGTATTTTTCGCGCGTAAGTATGTATGCATCTGTTTATGTATTAAAAAAAACCTCTCAAACTGTCAAAGTTTTTGTACATTGAATCGCTTATAATTTAACAGCCAATCAGCAAAACGTTCGAGTATGTTATATCAATCCACTTCTATGTAAAGGGTCTATCCGAATATGTAACAAGACATACTCGTAACAGTTAAAAAAGCAAAAATCTATCAACTTTTGAAACTAAATGCTTAGTATTTTATTGCATATTCAGATAGACCCCTCGAAAAGAAGATTGATATAACAAACTATAACATTATGGTGCTTGGTTGTTGAGTTATAAGCGATTCAGTGAACAAAAACGCTCAATTTTGAACCCTTTCCAGTCATCTGTTTTGATGTATAGTGATTTTATATTCCAGGGTGGTAAAGTACTCATGAGGATCTTCAAAATAAGGTGTCTCATTCAAAAAAAAAATGTTACACGATGGCGTTCAGCCACCAACTTGAAAAATAAATTAATTATAGGGCCAAACCAGATACAAGTTTTTTAGTTGAAGATTGCGTTATGCCACTGTTACAATATATGTATAATTTAATTCTGAAGACAAACTATTTTCCAGAAGCTTGGAAACTAGCTAGAGTTACGCCAATATTGAAAAACGATAACCCAGCTCAAATTAATAACTACTCGGAACATTATAATTTTGCAATGTTGTTTGAAATGATACTTTACATGTTTATTTTTGCCACAACAAGAGAAACTTGGTCGATCGATGAGCATGGCTTCGTAATGTATCCCTAACCTCACTTGCTTGACACAAACTATTTTCGAAACTTTGGATGATAGGGAAGACGTTGATGTTGTTTATTTGATAGAATAGACTTAAGCATCCTATTGAAAAAAAACTGAGTTTCTTTGGGCTATCTGATGATCTTCTATCATTGCTTAACTCTTGTCTTTTCAATAGGAGGCAATATGTTCCATATGAAGGATACCGCTCACCGCTCATCAGGCCTACTTCGGGAATTCCCCAAGGCGCAAATCTAGGACCCTTGCACTTTCTGTTATACATAAACGATCTAACTCTTGACTTGCATAGCTCAGAATTATTGTATGCAGACGACTTGAAGCTATATTACTCAGTAAAAACCATCGATGACTGCCTTGTCTTGCAGCAAGATTTACTGGCAATATCTTCATGGTCCCAAGTCAATCTTCTCAACTAAAATACTGACAAGTGCTCCGTTGTATCCTTGACAAGAAAACAGAATATTTTAATTTTTGTATATTGCCCTGGAAACGTTAGCAATGAGCGTCAAGAGCAAGTCGATGATTTAGGAATTCTCTCCGGTCAAAAAATGATCTTTTTGCCACCGTTTTGTCAGCTGATAAAATTTTGAGGTTCATCATGAGTAACGCTAGAGATTTATCTTTTTACGGCATATTACTAAGTAACATCCTGTATTAATCAACCAGCAAAAGAATGCAAGATGGGGATGGTAAGAGGTTCCGCAGAATCTGGTAGGTGTGTCGGTATCATCTGATAAACTATCGTCACTGTAAGATATTTGTTTTAAGTGGATAATCATTTGCGTCTAAGATGTGTCTTAACACTACCCACTACCATTCAGGTACCATTAACACAGAACAGCTTGGAACCTATTTCAGCATGTTCATGACTTTATAATATGTATATATTATTATAGCTATTTATAAAATAAAATAAAATATATGAAAGAATTATATAAATATACCATATGTCGTGTAGATAATACTTTTTGTGTGATTAGTAACATTTTCGGTCGTACCTCGTATATGCTAATACGTATGAAGGCAAGTAAATCAAAATTACACACCAATCTGTATATATCCTCCAATTAAACCCAACGATTACAATACACTAGTCTGCGAACCGGGTATTTCACAAATGTAATTTCCCTCTCGTATCCACGTTTGACCTCAAAAATACGATTTTTTCCTCTCAATCCGGTGCACATAGATAGCTTGTTAGTCATATAACCGCACCATCTTCCTGTGGTATAGTAAAACAGTTGAATGTTTGTGCGCCCACTAGCTTGTTGACTTTAAGTAAACGCATCATATGAGAAGCGCTTGACTGAAAAAACCAGTGGTACAATTTCTTTGTGTTGTGAAATCATGATATAATTCAGGATTCTCATCTGCTTTCTCCGTTATTGTTGTGTAGTTTTTGTGTTGGAACGATGTTTCGGATTGCGAGAGTTTTGGATGTTCAATGTTTTCGGTGTAAGTAACATTTTCAATGATTGTCGCACGTTTTTGCAGCACTAAAATCGGTTTACAGTGAGTTTCTGCAAGGGTATTTGCTTTTCGATTTTTTATGTTCCTCTTTATCCATATTTAATAATAATAAACGGCTTTATTGGCGGAGCAAAGCTATTCTTACACTCAATCTTTCTAAAAACTGAAGCTTAATCCTAATTTGTCATAGGTACAAATATGATATTTTACATATACAGTAAACGATTGTATGTCTATGAATCTTACTAAAAAAAAGAATGTAATTGATCACAGGGCATTTATTCATTGATCCTATGTGCTTCCTAGAAGATGTAGTCTGAGATGCAATTTGAAACGAATGCTATCAGTATTTGATATATATATATATATATATATATATATATATATATCAATATTAGAGTAGATAGATGGTTTCCTATGAATGTATCTCCTTTGTGAGCATAATAAGCAAAAACACATCAAAAGGATGTTTTTCAAAATCCTATATTGAAGAAAGCCGAAGTTGATACGTAAGATTTCGCGGTAACGCTGCTGTAATCTCTAGCATGATGTAATAAGTTTTTCCACGCCCTACCCTTAGAATATAACCATACAGCCTTGGAGGTCGGGTTTCCGTCAATTGTAAAGAAATAAAGCAACTTTAAGCCACGAACCGTGAAGAACCACGGTTATTCCTTCGTTATGCCCTTGATTATTCTTTCATTTGCCCTTCTTACACAGATCTGAGAACAAGAACGATTATAAATATGAGTCATTTGATTCAACTAAAATACTTTACTGTGATATTAAAAACGTATTCGATTACTTTTTAAGTTCTGCTACCAAAACAATGGATGATTCCATCAAAAACTAAGTAGTTCTGCGTCCCGTGTCATCTGATATTTTTTTATCATATTCACTGATAACTTTTTACGGAAAATTTTAATTCAGAAACTACAACAAACACAAAAAGCACATGTAGGCTTATGTTATAGTCGAAATCACGAAAGATGACGATTACGTCATCATTTTAGTCTGTAGTAAAGACAAACGACAGCGATTTGTGAATATATTTAATGAAGTTTCTGATAAGTTAGACAGAGGCAAACATAATTTTATTGTCTAAACAAACTGTATCGCTAATTTGCATGTATCCGACAAAGATAGACGATGTTTTCATGTTGCTTGATCGATCATATTTGAAAGATGAATAGTTAGGTTATGTTAAAGCAGGTTAGGTTGTTTTCGAATAATACTTTGGTCGTTGGTGTTCCTGTCTTAAGGTATTCTACTCATAACTGTTTTTTTCAAAACAAAAATTCCCCACTAAAATTATTATTAAGGTATCACTATAATCAGTGAAATAACCTAACTTAGCAAAATCTGAATACAAATTTGTTGTCATTATGTTTCTGAATCGTGATTTTCTCATCGACGTACGTCCATTGATTACTTCATTCCATTTTTTGGTATGACGTAATAGTCATTTTTCGTGATTTTGACTATATATAAATGGACTGACGTTTGACATACAAGAACCACCACCTGGGCAACGTTGACACTGGTCTTAATTGTCACAAACAGTGACGTCTCGAAGGTCTAGTTCGTGACGTCATAATTTGACGTTTTCAAACCGTGTCGCTTAAAATAAAAAAGTCAAAACCAACCACGACCGGTTATGATTGGTAGATCGCTTAAAATTGCTTATAGTCTTTTTTCTCTGACATTGACAGTCTGACATAAAATGCGTGGTCACGTTCTATCAGTACCGTGAAATGGGGTGAATAGAAACTGCTGGGTGAATAGCAACAAAAACGGGAAACTTCTTTTAAAAAAAATCAACATTGGAATTAAACCTCCCAACGCTTCAAATTTGTTCTCAAACGGTCAACAGATGTCGCCATAACTGCTTTAACAGGCCAAAGATGTTTTATGCTGGCAGCCCTGATTGCAGTAGCAACCACCCGTCGGAGTGAACACATGAGCCTTTTTCATCACTAGCAAAACTTTATTCACAGTGGTTA